AACTTTAATCTTCTAATCAACATTCCATCCAATTTTGCATTCTTTCCATGTTCTCATGAACGCACGTTTTACCGCGCGGGTTTGCCGCACAGTTTGCCGCACAGTTTTACCGCGCGATTTTACCGCACAGTTTAACCGCACAGTTTTACCGCGCGGTTTCACCGCACAGTTTTACCGCGCGGTTTCACCGCACAGTTTAACCGCACAGTTTTACCGCGCGGTTTTACTGCACAGTTTTAATGCGCGGTTTATTGCACAGTTTTACCGCACAGTTTCACCGCACAGTTTCAAAGCGCGGTTTTACCGCACAGTTTTACCGCGCGGTTTTACCGCACAGTTTCACCGCACAGTTTAACCGCACACTTTTCCCACGCGGCTTTCCCACGCGGCTTTCCCACGCGGTTTTGCCGCACAGTTTGCCACGCGGTTTTGCCGCACGATTGTAACGCGAGATTTTGTCGCACATTTGCACCGCGCGGTTTTGACGCCCGTTTTTACCGCTTGTTCTGAAGCCTGCTTTGCAATGAAGCAAGGGGTCCGGGAACTTCTCCCCTAACACGGCGTCGCACACGTCGCACCNCACCCGCCGTCTGTCGCAGGATTGCGATGGAAGATTGGAGCGCGCAATTCGTGAGGTAGGGATTCCTTTAATTATTTGAATTGACTGCCCGCTCTTTTCAATTCCAGTGCGGCCTTGAACGTCTTTTATATAGGAGGAGTCATTTTAATTAATCAAGTCTAATAAACATGAAAACTAAAAAGAAACAGGAGAAAAAACGATCAAATCCAATGAAAAAGCAAGCCAGTCAAGGAAAAATATCGCGTCCTATCGATTGACGGGAGGCAGGGTGAGTACGGTAACTGCAGTGACATTTGCCGCATGCGGCAAGGGAGAATGCCGCGATAGGGGAGAAGTTCCGTTACCCATGAAGCAAGTACAAGACAGTACAAACGGGGAATAAGCAGAGGCAGCCCATCGCAGAAAGCACGCTGTCGAAGTAGCCGAACACCAATGTTATTTCTCTTGTTCCCGTCATTATTTATAATCCTCTGCAGGTCAAGAGTTTGCCTATGGGTCAGAGATCTGGCGGGAAAAAAATACGTTCATGAGGCGCAATAGGTATCGACACGCGTTCTCGCTGGTTGTTCTTTTTTTCTAACCACCGCTAGGACCGATCAATGCGTACTTCTTTGCTTTTCGTGTTTTTAAGGAGATTTGGATCGCGGCTAGATGAGTTGTTTTACAAACTCATCGCCTATGTGGATAACAAGAGCTCACTGGATGTTGCGTTCAAAAGACCCTTTGTAATTAGGAGGGTACATTACAAAAATGATCCCTGACACATAGCACAAGCTGTTCAAATGCATTAATTTAATCGGAGTGAAGATTGTATAGTTCAAATAACCGCTTCATTCTGACTGAGCCAACATTGACGACGGGATCATCCTAGTAAGAGAACCTGATGCTATCTGATGACGATTATGCCGGATCCTCGAAGTTATACTGCATAAATCTTAACGATTGAGAACTTCAAAAACTGCACAAGATTTGATAACAAAAGATACGGGTTATAGGAGCCTTTAGACATGATTTCATTCCGCCCCTCTCCCGTAGACATAGAAATAGAGAGAAATCGATGTCAGATCACCATTGATCTACTCAATGGAAACGTCAACACATCAACACAACACTACAACTAAACAAAATGTAGAGATCTCAGTGATCATTTTACTGGATGAGCCGTCGGTATTGGTAGCCTGTTCATTATAAAGCAAGTAGAAAAGACATTAAAAAAACACACTTGGCAATCATGTGGTCATCGGGAGGTCAGGGCCGGTTGGCTCGATGCAGCCCAGAGGTCTATTGTCCACTATACGTTGACGATTGACCTCGTTGGTCAGCCTCATCAAAAATCGCATCGATTTTTGAGAGTTTTCAAGAATTTCAAGAGGATATGCCTAGTGTCCTTGACTACCTCAAACGAAGGTTGCAGCAGTTCTTGGAGAGAGGAATTTTGAAAAAAACCAGCACGGAAGAAATAGTTGCGCAAGTATTGACTACCGCGGTTAACGGCCGACCACAAATGGGCGAACACTAAGCACAATAAGTGTTTATCGGCAATTACACAAAAAAAAACAATGTTACAAACAGTAACAAACGATACACAAAAAAAATCAATCGATGCCCTAACGGCGAACAAGCGACAACCTAAAAAAAAAGAAAAAAAAGGGGCGTGCTGGGCGTGGAGGACCCCTTCCTTTCGAATCCGTCACTTAACTGCGTATCTGGCGTCTCGGCTTTTATAGGATCTTTTCCCGCCTAAAATGTCTTTCGCGCCAATCGCAATTGACGCCAATAGATCATGCGCTACACGTGTTCTACCTCACGATTATCAAGAATCAGGGGTTTAGGGTTCCCCCCGCCCCAACATGCCCCCCTCCTCCAAGGATCTGTCCCCAGATCTTATACTGAGGTGGCATAACCCCTTAGCAAGCTCCTTTTGCCGTCTCTTTTCTTGACGCTTTTCCACTCTTTTCAGATGCCTCTTGGAAATCCTTCCGTCCATAATGGGCGGTCCTCCCTTTTTATCAACCACATGCACTGGTCCTCCAGGCTTCATTGACTTGGGCACCTTGAGCGACTCCAACTGAACACCGAATTCCTTCAGTTGCCTCGTGAGGTGATTGTAAAACTCCACTGCGCGTGGTACTTCCCACCACTTCCTTGGGTCTTCCACTAATCCTACACGGAGACATGCCATGGAAGCCTTCAGCACTCCCACATCTTCCGGTAGAAGATCGTGCCACTGCTGCACAAAATCGGCATGGTCATCGAGGTATCCAAGAATGTGAGTCCGCGCTCTCTGGTTCATACGATTCCAGCTACCTTCATCGCATGAGCGGGGCCCATTCACCATCCAAACATGCGCTCCGCAAGATAACCAGAGATCAACCGCTGCAGTGAACTGAATCCACGAAAAAGCGCCCTCAGGTTCCCTTGGCGGCATCACCCACACTACATTTCCAACTTCATTCGCGAATAACACGTTGTTATTACGCCGGACTTCACGAAAAGACCTGTAGTAGAACATCGTAGTCTTTGGCCCTTTCCTGCAAAAAGTCAACCTTCTCAGCACATCTGGC